CTCTCTCTCTCTCTCTCTCTCTCTCTCTCTCTCTCTCTCTCTCTCTCTCTCTCTCTCTCTCTCTCTCTCTCTCTCTTTCCGATGCGGACAGTCCGTCGTCACGCACCAACCCACGAAGTTGTCACCACACTTAGTCCTCCTGTGCCCGTCCGCTATATAACCGGCTGAACGCGCGTTCACGTTCAAACGCGCACGTTCATATCCTCTGGGGGCGCGTTCAATCGCGTTCAAACGCGCTGCGCGCCACGTGGCGCAAAAAACAATAACGCGACCCCCGGGGGCGTGAGCGTGCGTTGCGGACTACAGGGTGGCGGACCTCGTTCAACGAACCCCGAAAGTGCACCCCCGCCCCCCCCCGGAGGCCTACCCCCCCTACCGCGTCACCCCCCGCCATATGTGAAGGGTCCTTTTTTTTTGGGGGGGGGGGGKGGGGGRATCCCCCTAACACGGCTCAGACGGCCCATGCAGGCTATCTGAAGGGTCCTCGCAGCCATGTAACGCAGACCCCACCACCAAAATCAAGCAGGCAGTGAATATGAAGTGGAGCATGAGCTGGCTGAATATATACTCAAGATTCGAATTCAGGTCTGTGTTTCAGCAGTTATGGGTTGCTCAGGTAGCTAGGCTGTGTTGGTCTCTGCACGTGATTCTCAGGGCTTGGCTGCACTACTCACAAAATGTGCAAAACTAGAATGAATCTTCTGCAGAACATGGAATAATACGCCGCCATATGTTTTGTCTTTTGTGCATGTGGTGAATAGAGGCCCTTAGGGCCACTGCACGTATTCCTAAGAAAAGAAAAAGGAGAAAAAAAAGAAAAACGAGAAAAAAGAAAAATGAGAAAATAAAAAAACAAGAAAAAAGAAAAACGAGAATTTTTTCTCGTTTTTCTTTTCTTAGGAATACGTGCAGTGGCCCTAAGGGCCTCTACTCACCACATGCACAAAAGACAAAACATATGGCGGCGTATTATTCCATGTTCTGCAAAAGATTCATTCTAGTTTTGCACATTTGGTGAGTAGTGCAGCCAAGCCCTGAGAATCATGTGCAGAGAGCAACAGGGCCTAGCTACGTGAGCAACCCATAACGGCTGAAACACAAACCTGAATTCGAATCTTGAGTATATATTCGGCCAGCTCGTCATGTACTTCATATTCACTGGCTGCCTTGAGTTTGGTGGGGGGGTTTGCACTACATGGCTGCGAGGACCCTTTAGATAGCCTCCATGGGCCGTCTGAGCCGTGTTAGGGGGATTCCCCCACCCCCTGAAAAAAAAAAGGACCATTCACACACACACACACACATATTCACACACACACAAACACACAAATTCACACACAC